GGTCTGCTGGGAACATCTGTCAGAGACTCCTGTCAGACGGAGCATCAACTCACACCTCCGGGAGAACTTTGAACACATTTCGGGGGAGGTGGGGAACATTGAGTCAGAGTGGGCCATGTTCTGTTCCTCCATTGTCGAGATGGCTTACCTGAGCTGTGGCCGTAAGTTTGTCAGTGCCTGTCATAGCAGCAACCCTCGAACCCACTGGTGGACACCGGCAGTGAGGGATGCTGTCAGGCTGAAGGAGGAGTCCTATCAGGTCTTTGTGGCCTGTGGGACTCTGGAAGCAGCTGATAGGTATCGGCAGTCCAAACAGATTGTGGCTCAGGTGGTCTCTGAGGGAAAAACTTGGGTGTGGAAGGAGTTCGGAGAGGCCATGGAAAAAAACTTCCATATGGCTTTGAGGCGATTCTGGTCCACCATCCAGCATCTCATCCAGCATCTCAGTGGGGGAAGCGGTTCACCACCAACACTATTTATGGTGGGGATGGTGCGCTGCTGACCTCAACWTGGGATGTTGTGGGTCGGTGGGCAGAATACTTTGAAGACCTCCTCAATCCTACCAACATGTCTTCCCATGAGGAAGCAGAGCCTGAGGACCCTGGTCAGATGCTCCAATCTCTGGTGCTGAGGTCACTGAGGTGGTTAAAAAGCTCCTCTGTGATAGGGCGCCGGGTATGGATGAGATTCACCCAGAGTTCCTTAAGGCTCTGGATGTTGTGGGGTTGTGTTGGTTGACACGACTCTACAATATCACGTGGACATCGGGGGCAGTTCMCCTGGATTGGCAGACCGGGGTGGTGGTCCCCCTATTTAAAAAGGGGGACCACAGAGTGTGTTCCAACTATAGGGGGATCACACTTCTGAGTCTCCCTGGTAAGGTCTATTCAGGGGTCCTGGAGAAGAGGGTCCATCTGATAGTCGAATCTCAGATTCAGGAAGAGCAGTGTGGTTTCAGTCCTGGTCCTGGAAGACTGGATCAGCTTTACACCCTCAGCAGGGTCCTGGAGGGTGCATGGGAGTTCACTTAACCAGGAGGTGTTCRACCGTGTCCCTCAGGGACTCCTGTGGGGGGTACTCTGGGAGTATGGGGTACCAGGCCCTTTGATACGTGTTGTTAGGTCCCTGTAGGACCGGAGCCAGAGCTTGGTCCACATTGCTGGTAGTAAGTC